CCCCACACTGCTTCCCCCATGGCCCTGTGGCCCTCAGAAGCTGGCTCGGCGGGTGATGCTCGGGGGAGTGATGCTCGGGGGAGTGATGCTCAGGGTGATGCTGCACATTAAGTGGAGCTGGATGGGAGGAGGGTGGGGCTCGTTTATTGGACAGAACATCTGTGTTCTCCGTTGTGAGTGGTTAAGACAAGAAGACAGGGCCTGGGTGTCCCAGACAGTCCTCCAGGGACTTGGGGGAGCAGCCCCTACCCCAGATCCCGGTTGGAGAGAACAGCCCAGCTCTTGGGGCTCTGGGCCTGGCTGAGCCGCCTGGGATCTGGGTACCCTGGTGGTCAGGGAGGGGCACAGACTTTAAGTCCGGCAGGCGAGCGGGCATCTGTGGAGCTCACACAGACCTCGCCCGCTGCTCCCCTTCCACGGGAGGCCTGTGATTCCCAGACGCCTCAGAAGCAGGACAGTAGAATGGGGGCGGGGGCCTCAGGACTGCATTTTGGGGGTCCAGACCCTGAGAGTTGGAGGCAGCTTGCAGGTGGGCAGAGGCCCAGGCTCCCTTGAGCCCCCAAGAGCCATTCCTGGGGAGAGAGTGGAGAGGGAGGCACTCCCTGTGAGGAGGCTGGCATCTGGCCGGCCCCTCCAGCAAGCTGAACCCCATCCATCCCTCCACAGGAAGAAGGTCTCTGGCATTCTTCAGTGAACAGATACCTCTCTGACCTCTGGGGTCAGGGGGTGGGAGATTAGCAGGAGGGCAGGACAGATGGGGTAGATGCCAGGGCCAGGTAAACCTAAGGGGGAGGGTAGGACTGGGCTTGACGGGGGGGACGAGGGTGCACCCGGCAAGGGTACAGCTGTGCAAAGGCCCTGGGGCCTGAGCTCCCAGTAGGTCCAGGCAACAGTGGGGAAGTCCTTGGACTGGATTCCTCTAGGAGGGGACAAGGTGCCTGTCGCCTGGTGGTACATCCCAGTCCCTCCTGGCTCCGTGGTTGTGAAGGGCCTCAGCCTGCATGTGTCCCGCCTGTGCTGCCCTCCCCTCACATGTGGAGCAGGTCTGACACCTCAGGGGGTCCTGCTCGCTGACCCCCAGCAGTCCTGGAAGGTCTGTGTGGTACTGGGGCTCCAGGCATCTCCCCCAGCCAAGCTGCAAGCTCAGCACCAGGCTGGCTCTCCCCGCCCTGTTGACCAGCAGGCCCCGTCTGTGCTCACAGCTCCTCCCCTTGTTTGGCCACCCTGTCCTCAGGGCATCTGCAGCAAGTGGGGGGCACAGCACGGGAAACGGGGCCAACGCCACAGCAGTGGATGTCCCGATGCCGAAGTCACTGGGAAGCCCAGGCCAGAGCCCCTCAGGTTGAAAGTCATACAGAGTTCCTGTGTGGGCTTCATTCCTTCTTAAAAGTTTAGTCACTGAAAATAATTTTTTGTTTGTGTTTTTGTTTTTGAGATGGAGTCTTGGGCTGTTGCGCTGAGCAGTGACCGCGCTCAGCCTAGTCACTGAAATTCTTAACAGTCTTTACCCATCCAGGCACAGTAGCTCACGCCTGTAATCCCAGCACTTTAGGAGGCCGGGGCAGGCGGATCACGAGGTCAGGAGTTCCAGACCAGTCTGGCCAATATGGTGAAACCCATCTCTACTAAAAATACAAAAATTAGCTGGGCATGGTGGCGGGCGCCTGTAGTCCCAGCTACTCGGAAGGCTGAGGCAGGAGAATCGCTTGAACCAGTGAGCCGAGGTCGCACCATTGCACTCCGGCCTGGGCGTCAGAGACTCTGTCAACCAAAACAAACCTTTACCCACTTTTCCTAAACAACCCGTAAAAAGCTTTGCTCTGAAAAGTGGGAATATCATTGTGCAAAGTAAGTTGCTTTTTTCCACGGGGCTGTCTGCATAAAACTTGCCACTTAGAGCTGTGCCTGCACTGTCCTGGCAGTCCAGCCTGCAGGTGAGCTCCTCACACCCCCGCCCGGCCTGAGCGCCCCTCGCTGGGTCAGACACTCAGTGTCCTCGCCCTGCAGGAGGCCAGAGGGCCCATCTGCTGCTCGTGGCCAGGCTGGGCCTTGGGGTGCCTGACCCCCTCCAGAGCAAGCCCCTTAGATGCCCAGCAGGATCCTCTCTCCCCTCCCATCCCTCGGGCGGTTTCCCCACACTGTGCCCAGTGTAAGGCTGACGTTGAGATCACAGCACAGGAGCCTCGGGGGCCCCTGGAGAATGAGGCGCTTGATGAGCAGGATCTGAGCGCTGCCTGGAAGGAGGTTTGAGGTCATCAGTGGACAGGCAACTTGTCCCACTACTTGGAACTCGGGGCCGCAGAGCTGCCTAGCTGGGCACAACCTGGGCCACCCCACAGAGGGCAGGAGTGGGAGGGGCCAAAGATGGTGCTCCAGGCCACCTGGACCTTTTTGTCCAGCTGGTTCTTTCGCATGAGGTGGGGTGGCACTGAGGGTGGGGGTGCCCCTAACCGGAACCCGTGTCTGCCACACAGGGCCGAGTGTGCCAACAGCCGGCTGTTAGATCCTGCCTGCCCCGCGCCGAAGGAAGTGACCGCTGCCCCAGCCGTGGCTCCGCCCCCCGAGGCTGCTGTGGCCATCACCACAGCACTGAGCAAGGCTGGCCCCGCCATACCCAGCCCAGCAGTCTCTTCTGCAGTGGCCGTGGCGGTCCCCCTAGGGCCCATCATGGCAGTCACAACAGCCCCAGCCATGGTGGCCACCCTGGGGACAGTGACAAAGGACGGGTGAGCAGGTTGAGTGTGGGGGTAGGGGGTGCGGACGGGGCCCGCAGCCCGCACGGCTCCAACCCCACCCCATTCCTGCAGGAAGAGAGATGCCCCGCCGGAAGGAGCTGCCTTAAATGGCCCAGTGTGATGCTGCTGCCGCCCGGCCACGGCCCGCCCTGGTCAGGCTGCATCCTTAATCGAGAAAACTACCTGGTGATGCAATCTTTTTTTTTTTAATTTAATTTAATTTTAAAATAAATGCTGCATTGGTAAAGCTGGCAGTTGAAACCAGTTGGACGGCCCAGCTTGCGTCTCTTCTGCCTGAGTGGGCCTCTCAGGTCACTCGTGCCCGCTGGAGGACAGAGGGGCACCTCAGCCGCCCCCAGGCCCGGAGCACAGCGATAAGGTCTGCCTGCGCCCACCCTTGACACATGGGGATTATGGAGGTTTTAAAAAAAAAAAAAATTAGTGGGGGGGGGGGGGGGGGGGGGGCAGGACCCGGAGATGCCACCAGGACCTGATGGGCCAGGAAGGGCGTGGACTTGGAGGCTGTTTTTAGAGACTTTTTTAAAGAATACAGAAGGAGCCAAGCTTTTTTGCACTTTGTATCCAGCTGCAAGCTCAGGGCAGAGTCAAGGGCCTGGGTTGGGGACACCCGACTCACAGGAATGCATAAGGGCCTCAGACCCTTGCAGCTGCCCAGTAGCCCTTGGAGCTGGCACTGAACCAGGCTGCGAGACTTGACTGCCTTAAAATCGCAAGGCCCTCTGGGCCTGGCAGGGATGTCCCTGTGCCCAGCACAGGGTGCCTGGCAGGGGGAGACCACAGGTATGCAAGTGGGGGGCCATGGCTTGGCACTGGGGGCTTGAAGACTGGTTTCTAGCACTACTGGTCATGGCCATGTTGTCCTAGAAGGGTCCAGAAGATTATTTTACGTTGAGTCCATTTTTAATGTTCTGATCACCTGACAGGGCACCCAAAACCCCCAACTCCCAATAAAAGCCGTGACGTTCGGACAAACCGCGTATTGTGAACCTTCTGGCCCCAAAGCCCCAGTCCGGCCAGGGGTGGGAGTGTCTCCTCCTGCGTCTGTTTTGTGGCCCCCCATCCCCCAGGATCATCCCCGTGTAATGGGTGGAGGTGGAACAGGCCACGTCACAACAGCAGGTCTCTCTCTGAGCAAATACTGGGCTTTTTCCTGTTTGGGGGATGGGGGGGCCACTTCTCCTGACGCTCAAACACACCAACCCCAGGCCTTGCTCTTGTGCCAGCTCCCCCTCCCCCTCCCGGAAGCCTGGGCCCCACCTTGGCCTCACTGAGTGGGAACCCCCGCCGGGGGGCTCGTCTGAAAAATGACTCAAGGGTCTCCTTCCATCACGGTTGGCGAGGACCTGCTCAGCTCCCCACAGGCCGTCTCCGCCCCAGCTACACACTCTGCCTTGTTCTCACCCCCTGCCCTGTGCCTGGCATTTGTCCTCTCCCCCCACAAATGTGGAATAGGGGGGGCAGGGTCCCTTCTCCCCTTACTCTGACCTGTGGGTTTCCCAGGTGCCAGGAACTTTGGTCAGGCTCCATCTGCCTGGCCTGAGGGAAGACCTGGCTGGTTTCAGTGGCTCAAGTGAGCCCGACCACGTCTCCCCCCCGGTGTCCCAGCACCACCTGTTTGGTGGGGGAGGTGGTGGCATCATGCTGGGCCTTACAGGGTCCAAGGCCGTCCTTGGCTTCAACGTCCCCCCAGGGAAGGGTCTTGGTCCCCCCACCTGCCAGCACCAGGCCCCACCTCTGCAGCGATCACCGGAACCCTCCCCTCACCCCCACCTGCTCACCTCCCACCTGAGAGGGGCCTCTAGCTGGGTCCCCTGTCCCCCACCAGCCCCTCTGGCCAGGTCACCAGGTGCCACTCTCAGATGTTCTCTTGGCCTTGGCAGCACCTACACCCCTCCCCACCTTCTGCTCCCACACCCCTGCCTGGCCACAGGCAAGGACACAGCAGCTCAGCAGGCGAAGCCCTGGGCCGGGTGGGACTCAGGTTTGAATGGGAAGAGCAGTGAGGGGCCACAGTGACACCAAGAAGGGAAGGACCGGGGCCCTCTGAGGCCCCAGAATTCCCAAGAACAGGGTCTATCCCCCACGGGCACTGCCCCCTCACTCTGCCAGGTGCCGCCTGCTGCCTGAAGAGGGCCAGATGTGGTCGACCCGCATTCCCCTGGGCGCCCGCTGTACCCTCTCCTGGGTCTGGCCTCCATCCCTTCAGCTCTGGTCTAACCGGAAGCTGCCGTCCACCTCAAGTATCCTCTGGACTTGCAACAGCCTCCTGAGGGCAAATGACCACCCACCCTTTCACCCCCCAAGCCTCCGTGATGCCAGCTTCTGCACCCCCTGGGGAGGGATGGCAGCTTCCTCTCCAGCTGTGCCGGCCCCTAGACCAGCCCTGAGGCCTGGGGGGAATCAAGCAAGGCCCCAGTGAAGCCTCCTGCTCGATCTGCCCCCAGAGCAAAGCCACTCCCAGGGACGTGCAGGCTAAGCTGGGTGGACCCAGGCACCAGGAAAGGCTCATGAGAAAGATGCCAGCCTCCCACTAGGTGGGCCTGGATAGGGGCAGATGGGACCCTCTGGGTAGGCTGAGAACAGGCAGCTGGGATGTGGGTAAGGCAGGCACAGGAGCATGGCGTTAGTTCTCTCTTTATATAGACTCTGGTTCTAGAAACTCGCCTGCAGCCGCTGGCTGGACTATTTACAGGCCCATTGCGGGCTGTACCTTGGCCACCTCCCGGCACGGTGCTCAGCTGTGATGCCAAAATAAGTTAGGGCCGGCCGGGCGGGGCGGGGCAGGGACGGGGGCTGTACACACAAGTGCTGGGGGCTCGGGGCCTCAATACTGTCGAGGGCCGGGGCTGTAAACATGGCCGGGGCGGCCCTGCCCACCCCTAGTGGTCGGTAACGACTGGAAGCAGAGCAGCCGGGCAGGGCCGGGAGGCTCAGGCATCCGACAGGCAGCTCTGGATCCGGTCCACCCACTGCTGGGCCGAGGGCACGTCCTGGGCACAGAAGTTGTAAACGCGACGCGTTGTCTTCACCTGGGGAAGGGCAGGTTACTGACTCCGCAGCCCCCACACCCCAGAGCCCCTCCCCTCTCCCAAGCCCCGGCCAAGGCTCACGTCAAAGAAGGCCTTCTCGTCCACAGTCTTAGGGGCACCCATGGTGGGCGTGCCAGGTGCCACAGCCTCCACCTCCGCCAGGTCGATGACACCCTTGCACTCTGTGTCCACACGGTGGTCATAGTAACGCAGCTGGAGGAGGCCACAGAGTCAGCGCAGCCCCTTCCCCCAAGTCCCCCCGACCACCTGATCACTCACCTGGTGCTTGGTCTTGTCCAACACGAACCAGCGGGCCTTCCAAGGCTTCATGAAGGCCCCCTTCTTGTACAGAGTGCCCTCGTAGGACCTGCATTTGCAGCAGAACCAGGGCCAGGTTGGCTGTCATGGCCCAGCCAAGCCCAGGCCCCAGCAGTTGTCCCCACCTGCTGTCCCAGCCCAGGAGGTAAGACCAGGCTCCCTGTCCCCGGAACTGACCTAAGCCCAGAGCACTGGCCAGGGGGCCACAAAGCAGCCTCGGGGCTGCACGCCCAGGAAGACGGCCCAGAAAGGAGACAGTGAAGGATGCCTCACCCCCTCGACTCCAGGGAGCATCCCTACACCAGAGCCTCAGGGTCTTGGGAAAGCAGCCCCCCGACACAGGGCAGTCGCCCTGACGACGAGAGGGATGCCGGGCAGGTAGATCTGTAGAAGCAGCCGTGGCAGCAGCTGCCTGGGATGGATCCTGTCAGGCTCCAGACTCATGGGGACCCCACTACCTCCCTGTTTCTGCTTCTTCCTCAGCCGTTGCAGGCTGTGGTCGGCTGCAGTCACCAGTTCCACACCCCAAACCCCTCCCGATGGTAGCGTATACTTAGGCCATCACTGTGGCCTTCCCAACAAATCCTTCTAACCTAAGAAATGACAAGCTCCTCAAAAGCACCTGCATCTCCCACCAGAGGACTGCCTGGGACCCCAGAACACCAGCTCAGAGGTTTCCGTGCAGCAGTGGGAGGGCCCCTCATACCTGTTCTCACTCTCAGCTGTCTGGAACTGGCTGTACAGGGTGCTGGTGCTGCGGCGGGCAGCCTGGCGGGAGCCGGATGCGGTTGAGCCACTACTCTGGTCGCTGTCCAGGCTGAGGCTCAGGGTGGAGCCCACGGGCCCCTCCTGCAGGTACACACCCAGCGAGCGGCGGTGGTGGGGTGCGGTGGACACCAGGAGGGAGCTAGGGGTGCCCTGGAAACAGGAGGTTGGGACTTGGGTCAGGGCTGGGCAGACGCCACTTTCTCCCAGCAACAGGCCCACCGTGGCCGCTCACACTGGCCCTCACTCACACGTCCGTCTGGCCGGCCTTCGAGGCGCTGTGCAGCCTTCACCCGGTCCCAGGTGTCCTTCCAGCGCTCAGCGGGTCGGCCCAACTCTGTCTCCAGCCTCTGCAGCTCCTGGCGGGGAGAATTAGTGAAAAGTTTGTTCAAAAGGAAATATCCAGACTACAGCATGAAAAGACAAAAGGGTGGAAAATACAGGAAAGAGACACAATGGAAAGGCCTAACACGTGTGTAACTGGATCACAGGGGGAGATGGCAAAGGGAGGGAAGAAATATGCAAAGTGAATATTTGGGGACAACAGTTGAAAAATTTCCCAAACTAACCAGAGGCATCAAACAACATAATCAAGAAGCACCACAAACCCCAACAGGGTAAGTTAAAAACACACACCCCCCGGACAGGCGCGGTGGCTCCCGCCTGTAATCCCAGCACTTTGGAAGGCTGAGGCGGGTGGATCATCTGAGGTCAGGAGTTCGAGACCAGCCTGGCAAACATAGCCAAACCCCATCTCTACTAAAAATACAAAAATTAGCCGGGTGTGGTGGTGGGCACCTGTAATCCCAGCTACTTGGGAGGCTGCAGTGAGCCAAGAGTGCGCCATTGCACTCCAGCCTGGTCGACAAAGCCAGACTCTGCCTCAAAAAAAAAAAAAAAAAAGCTATGAGCCGAGTCCAAACTCTAGAGGTTAAGCAATGCTGAAAGACGCTGGACTTCCAAAAGCCAGTGTGGCAGGACCTCACCGGAGACACAGAGACACAAAACCCCAACTGAAGCCCTGGAGAGGCCACACACCTTAGGCTGCTCTATCCCTGCAGCTTCTCTAGAGGTGCTGGAGAACTGCCCAAACAAAGCTTAGAAACAAGCCTCAAACAGATCAAGCTGACCCACAAACTCATTACCTACCGGCAAGAATAAAACCCAAGACTCCTTAAAGAAGGACAACACAGGCAGGGCTCAGTGGCTCAGTGGCTCAGTGGCTCAGTGGCTCATGCCTGTAAGCCCAACAGTTTGGGAGGCTGAGGAGGGAGAATCACTTGACCCAAGGAGTGTGAGAACAGCCTGGGCAACATCAGGACAAGACCCCATATTTGTATATATTTTTAAGTTATAAATATGTTTCAAGATTTAAAAGAAAACATGGACATAACAGTTTATCAGATGGGGAATCTCTATAATAAAGAGGGTTAAATTCATTAGATGGGGCCAGGTGCAGGGGCTCACATTTGTAATCCCAGCACTTTGGGAGGCCAAGGTGACAGGACTGCTTGAGCCCAGGAGTTTATGAGACCTGTCTGGGTAATATAGGGAGACCCTGTCTCTACAAAAAACAAAAAAAAAGCCGGCATGTGGCACAGGCCTGTAGTCTCGGCAACTCGAGAGGCTGAATGAACATGAGGATTGCTTGAGCCTGGGAGGTCCAGGCTGCAGTGAGCCATGACTGTGCCACTGCACTCCAGTCTGGGCAACAGAGCAAAACCCTGTCTCAAGAAATAAAAAGAAAAAAATTCATTTGATGGGCTTGAGTATATTAAAAACAAAGAGAAGAGTAGTGAACTTGAAGACAGGACCACAGAAATCATCCAAAATGAATTGCAAAGATAAAAACTGAGAAAAAAAAAGCAGGGCCTCAGCAACATACAGGACAAGAAAGTCCCGGAAGGAAAGGCAGAGATTATGCAGAAAAAGTAATTTATAGAAGCAGTGGCTTAAAATGTATTAAATTTGACAAAAATGATCATCCCACAGACCCCAAGCAGGATGAAAGCAAAAACCATGATGGCCAAATCGCTGAAGCCAAAAATGAACGCAAAATCTTAAGGCAGAGGATGAAAGGGCGCCATGATACACAGTTTATAAGGATAAGAGTGAACACCAACTTCTAAGCAGAAACAATACAGGCCAGAAAACAAAGTAATTTTTTTTTTTTTTTTGAGGCAGAGTCTCACTGTTGTCGCCCAGGCTGGAGTGCACTAGCGCGATCTCGGCTCAATGCAGCCTCCACCTCCCAGGTTGAAGCGATTCTCCTGCCTCAGCCTCCTGAGTAGCTGGGATTCCAGGCGCCACCATGCCCGGCTAATTTTTATATTTAGTAGAGATGGGGTTTCACCATATTGGCCAGGTTGGTCTCGAACTCCTGACCTCAGGTGAT